ACCGAATGAAACAGAGGATATTTCGGTCATCTGAAAATTCTTCAGGTGTCCCAGAAATAATGATAATAGCTGTAACGTAAATTACGAGAGTGTTCCTCAGGGAGTTACGGAACTATATGGTTTGGAAAATTCTGATATCCAAATGTTTATTTATAGTTAAATTACAGAAAGAATAAAATTGCACACTGAAAATTGGTAAAAAGGCTTATCGCATTAAATCACAGAATTTGTCTTAACCACCTGTTCCTTTTATCTAATTGGCTAAATTCACGTGTCGGAAAATTTTTTGTGGGGTTAAAATTTCCTCCCCGATATTTTTGGGTGTCCGATTTAGAATCTCATTGTTTCGGAACCAAAAAATTAACTTTATATGACCTTATTCATAACTATTTTTTAACTATGTACATACTTCTCATGCTTTGGATAAAAGACTTATAATCTAAAGAATAGATAAGCTTCCACTAAATAAAAAAAAAGCATTTTTCATCAACACAAATTTGTATATGAAATTCTAGGTGCGTACTGTTTGCCTGTAATGCTAGAAAATTTAAAGAACATTATCACGTGATTTTCCAAACTTTATGCCAGTAAAGATCAGATTTTTGATAATGCTAATCATAACCATGAGAGCACAAAATGTTTACAAACATTACTCATCTATTTCTGATTTATGAATAGTTCTCGTCCCTAAAAAAAATCTTTTTAAAAAAAATGTGTGGAATTATCGCGCTTCTGCTATCGAATCCCGATATATTGGCAAGTGTCGAATTGTTTGAGGGATTGCAAATATTGCAACATAGAGGACAGGTAAATTATTCTCACGAGTTTAAATTTCTTAAATAGATATATTTATACGTTTTTTTCGTGACACTTAGGATGCGGCAGGTATCGTGACATGCGGACATAAAGGACGTCTTTATCAATGTAAAGGGAATGGAATGGTAAGGGACGTTTTTGATCAGGAAAACTTGCAGAATTTGATTGGAAGTCTCGGTATCGGTCATGGTACGGATTTTTTTTATTAGAAGAAATTTTATACTCTTGTGGGATGTATTATTATTTGTCACACATTTTATTTTTAACACTTACAAATTGTTCTTAATTTAGTTCGCTATCCAACCGCTGGAACGTCTTCCAATTCTGAAGCGCAACCTTTTTATGTGAATAGTCCATACGGAATAGTTTTGGCACACGTATGTAAAGAACTGGATAAAGTAATCGTGCACGCTATTTCCGAGTTCGCAAAATAATGTTTATTTCGCTTGGTGATTTTTCTGGGGTTTTAGTTTTCAACAAGAAAAAAAAAACGTGCAATCTTAATTGAACAATGCACAAACAAAAATCAATCATAATCTATGTTTTAGAATGGAAATCTTGTTAACGCAGAAGAATTAAAGAACTCACTGGACGTTAAGGCACACCGTCATATCAACACAGACTCTGATTCCGAATTACTTTTGAACACATTTGCCGACAATTTACAGCAAACCGGTAAATTCAGGTAATGATAAATATATGTGTTTTATTTAAATTATCTATCACTTGTTCTTTGATTATTAATTCAAAATTTGATATTACTTTTAATGAATGGAAGAATTTACGAAGAAGACATCTTTACGGCCATAAAAGGAATTTACGAACAATGTATAGGTGGTTATGCGTGTGTGGCTATGATTGCAGGTACGTGCTTTTACTAATATGCTACTTTAGCTTTTACATACTCTATTATATCAAGTCACAAATGAAATATTTTTAGGTTTCGGTATTATTGGGTTTCGTGACCCACATGGAATTAGACCAATATGTTATGGAATTCGGCTAAACCACGAGGGCTTTGATTTTATGTTTGCGTCAGAGAGTGTCGTGTTGGATGCTTTAGGTTTCACGGATATTAGAGATATAAATCCTGGTTGGTGTACTTTATTATTTTTAGCGTGATGGTTTTATCGACGTTAATCGATTTTCTCTGCATAAAAGGCGAAGCTGTCATCGTAACGAAGCAAGCTATAACAAAACGTGTACTAGTGAATTGGGGAGAGCTCACACCATGTATATTTGAATATGTATATTTTGCACGTCCTGATTCAGTCATTGATGGAATTTCCGTATATCGCTCGAGGTTAGAAATGGGTGAGCATTTAGCTGATCAAGTTGTGAAGAAATGCGGCAAAAATTTGGATATTGACGTCGTCATTCCGGTGAGCATTTTTTTTTTTTTTAGTGCCATAATTTTCGGCAAATAGTACCCCTTGTTAAAATGCCCACCACCGCCAATTTGAGTCAATTTGTATAGTAACCAGCGGGGTACTAATCAATTTTTAGAACGTGAGAATGTAAGATACTCAGGTACTATTTGCTGAGAACTACGGTAATTTATTTAATATTTTCACAATAAATTGAAAAAGTTTTATGTTAGGTTCCTGACACAAGTCGTGTAGCTGCTCTTCAAGTGTCACACAAATTGAAGATTGCGTATCGTGAAGGATTCATAAAAAATCGTTATGTAGGACGTACATTCATAATGCCCGGACAACAAATGCGTCGAAAGAGTGTTCGACGTAAATTGAATGCCATGGCTTTGGAATTTGTCGATAAAAATGTTTTAATAGTTGATGGTATGTTATAAATTATACTGCCTTTTAATTACAACTTACCATTAACTCTTTTCTCTATCATGGTTATATAGATTCAATCGTTAGAGGTACAACATCCAAAGAGATTGTCCAAATGGCACGCGACGCCGGCGCAAAAAAAGTGTACTTCGCTTCATGTGCACCTCCGATTAGGTAAACATTTGTCATCTTATTATTAGTTTACGTGTATTAAATATGATCTAATTTCATTGTTTCGTGTAGGTATCCTAATGTTTATGGTATAGATATGCCATCTCGACGGGAGCTTGTGGCATTTGGTCTTGACGATGATTCAATTGCCAAAGAGATAGGTGCGGATATGGTAATATATCAGGTAATGTACTATTCATATTTAATCTACATAAGCTTTTCTTGGTACTGTTTGTTAATTCTTATTAAATTCATGTAGGATCTTAATGACTTGGTTGCTTCTTGCCAGAAGTTCAACCCAAATATTGCAACATTTGATTGTTCTGTATTTAGTGGTCATTATGTTACCGGCGGGGTTACAAATGAATACTTGGATCGCTTAGAAAGGTCTCGTAGTGATTTGGCAAAATCGTCTAGAGAAAACCTTCATTCTCCTGATACCATTGGGTTACATAATTTTCGTTATACATCTTCACAAGCATCATTAGAACGAAATGGTCGGAATGGTGTTAAAGGTGTTAATGGATCATTACAATATTAGTTTTTTTTTTTTTTTTTTATATATATTATGTATATATGTATGAGAAATTTAGTATGATATATCTTATTCGAATCGGCATTATGGGAATGTGTTGAAACTCGGTAGTATTATATCAATGGCTTCAGCGTATTGTCTATCAATAAATCTATAGGCCAGAATTGATCGCGTCATGTGAACTGACGTTTTGTCACAGGACCAATCGTATAATTATAAACCGATCGTGATTAAATTTTACACAAAACCATATAAGTATGGAAGAAGCTTCACGTCAACGTAAAGAACGTTTAGAAGCTACACGTAAACGAAAGCTTGCATCTTCAAAGTCTGAAGAACAGGCATCAGAAGAGCAGGCATCTGAAGAACAGGCTGTTGAAGAAGATTCTAATACTGTAAAGTACTTATAAGCATATTAATCATAATGTGAAAGTTATTGCTTTGATTTATCACCTGACTAACCTCTACACATATACTGCTGAATGAATAAAAGAAAACCTGTATTAAAATTTCGTAATTATACTCCAGCGAACGAAGAAATAAAAGCTGCTGCCAAAATTCACATTGCGACACCGAACGATTTAGGAGAAACTCTAGAAAAAAATGTGGATCGCATCACTAAAGAAGTGGAAGAAACAGAAAAGGCAAAACGCGAGGAAGAAGTAGTATGTACACGTAAATTATATAAAATTGTTGCTTATTATTATATTTTAATAAATTCATGATTTGTTTGCTAGGATTTATTTAATTTGGCACCGAAAAAACCAAATTGGGATCTTAAACGCGATGTTGAAAAAAAGTTGGCAAAACTTGAAAAAAAGACACAAGCTAGTATTGCCCATCTAATAAGTAATGTCTTTTTTTCCACTGAAACTTTATCTATTCGAATTTGTCAACTAATGTCTTTTTGAAAAAAAAAACAGAGACAAGACTTCAAAGTGAATCGGCTGAAAATACTTCGATTGGTCTGATTGACGCCGTTAACGCGCAACAAAAAGCTGATTTAGAAGATAATGACTCTGATTAGGGACGTTGAAGTTAGTTTGGTTTGGCTTAGATTCTAAAACCTTTAGGTTCCAAATTAAACCCTAAAAATCAGGTTTTTATATAATAAGTTCCAAACCTAAGTTAAACATGGTTTAATAACCTGATTCTCAATTCTCTGTAAGACAAAAAATAAAAATGCATTAATCAAAAGTTAATTCATATCAATTTATATTGATTTATTTAATAAAATTTTGGGCAAAAGGGGGTAAAGTGGCAGTTCACATAATATCGAATTAACATGAGGTCTTTCAAATAGAGTCTAATGATTCAATTTGTTTCACCAAGATGAATCAAAGAATATAAAAGCATCCCAATCTAATACATCTTATATACTTTATTATATAGTTACATTTTTTAACTAAATAAAATCATCATTTACAATTACATACTGTTTTAAAATTATAATTTATCTTTGACTATAAATATTGTACAATAAACTTCCCGGACACTTACACGCCTTTTAAATATAACTATCAAAATGCATTTATAAAACTATCAATGCATTTAATAATCGATTTTACTTCAACATTTGGACTTGCGTGCACTTATAAAGAGTTTGCATATATTTTTACCCTAAATTTGTTTTCTTATTTCACAAAAACCGTCAACAATGATCACAATTAAAGTTCCGCGGCTATATGATTTAGTCGACTAAACATAGTAATTTACATATAAATCTTTTAGTCGACTAAATCGATTCCTATCCCTACCCTAGATAATAAACTTACTCCT